TCAACAGATTTGCCAAACTGCCTTCTAACAAATGCAGGAAAATGGTAGAAGATTCACCATCTGTAATCCTTAGAGAAATAATAGACCCAGGAAAAGAGCATTAATGATCTTAAAACCCTTAGGAATAGGTTATTGGGAAACAATATGTGTGTGGTCAAGTATCACCCCGAGATTATTTGCTAGTTGCAAAGAGAAAAAGAAAGAGCCCTGGGGGCACTACTTTATCTTCACCATCAGTGGGGTGTCCTGACAAGCGCCTCCTGATGTGAAGTACTTTATAAAGTGCACAGTGTCAAGCCCACAATTTTTAACCTGAATCTAATGTAAGCCATCAAAGGGTTCTAACCAATCATTTAGACTTAACTTCTAGTTTAGAGGAATAAACTAAAAGTTGCCATGAGGAATCAGTGAGACAAATTCAGAATGTGGGACATTCTAGAAGAGGCTTGGACTTTTTAAAAAGTCAATGTCAAAACAATAACAACATCAACAGAAAGCTGGAAGCCTGTTCTAAACTAAAGGGAACTAAGGAAACATTACAACCCAAAACAGTGAATGAATTTTGGTGGGATCCGGGTAAGAGAAACTGGCTCCAAAAGACATATTAAAGAAATTTAAATAAGGACAGGATATTAGATGTTTTTATAAAGAATTGCTAGATTTTTTTATTTATGATAATGGTATTGTGGTTATATGAGACATGTTTAGACGATACACGTTTATGTGTATAGGGTATGATGTCTTCAAATGAATTTCGTATGATTCAACAGAAAAAGGCAGATAAGACTAAGAGGACAAAATGTTAACAATTGTTGAATCTGGGTGGTGGCTATACACATAATTCCCTATTCTTTCAATTTTTTTAAATGTTTGAAAATTTTTATAATAAAAGTTTAATTTTTAAAAAAAAGCTTGACAGAAGCTGTCCTGTTTAAAGAAAAGCTCTGACGGAAGAGCACAGGGCTCCTAGGAGACAAAAGAGAGGGTCAGCAGCAAGAAACCAGCACCCTGTGAGGAAGGGCAGATCCTTTATGCTTCAGGAGTCCAGGCTCCCTTGACAGAGTGGCCAGAAAGAGAGCTGAGAAGGTTAGATAGATGCCCGTGATGAGGGCCTCCTATGCCATCTGTGATCTTCCCCGCCGGCTACAGAGTAGTTTTAAAGACTTTAAAGGAGGGAAGGGACCCAATCTGATTTGCGTTCTCAGATGAACACAGCAGTTAGTGTTGACATAGCCCTACCTACGTAATCTGCCCTAAACTACGTCTCTCGTGTTATCTCTCCTTGCTGCCCCTCTCTGTACGCCTCCAAAAAGCAACGTTCCAGCCAGACAGCACTTTCTTCCATTTCTCCCCTATTCTATGAGGTTTAAGTCTAGACCACCACTCCCCTCTCCAATCTGGCTCACTCCCACACATCCTTCAGATCTGAGTTTAAATATGATTCATTCCACATATATTTACTGAGTGTCCATTTGCCCATTCAGAAGTAATAAAGGTATAACTGGAATATTTCTTCGTGAAACTTGGAGTCTAATGAGTGACTCTCTCCAGGCAGCCACCTAAGATATTCATGACTGGGAGCTACACTCTTCCTGTGGGCTACTACGGCACAGGGGACCTCTCACTTGTCATACTCAATGGTAAGTGTTTACTTCTGTAATTGTTTATTCTAGAAATCCCTCAGAAGAGTGGCCACACTTTTCTTGCTCTCCACTGAGTGAGAAGCACCTAGCCAAGTGTCTGGCATGCGATTGTGCCCAGAATAAAAATTCTGAAACAATGAAGAAATGAATGAATCTGTTCAGGGACAAGGGAGCGGAGGCCAAAAGACTTCCAAGAAGTCGTTGCAGTAACTCCTATGAGAAACTGTTAGAAGCCTATCTAAGAAAGTGGGTCTGATGGTTGGGAGGAAGAACCAGATCTGAGAAAAAATTAGGAGGTTGAACCAAAGACCTGGTAACCTGTGGGCTGTGGAGAGAAAATCAGAGAGAGGACGGATAAGGGGACTTCTGAGTCTTTGGGTTTGGTACCTGGGTGCTCCTGTCAAAACTTTGGGTTGTTGGAGGAGTTTCAAGTTTTGGGGGAAAGGGTAGAGCATTCGTTTGGGGATGTATCGCTTTTGAGATGCCCATTGACATGCAAAAAGAAATAACTAGGACAATTGTGTCCAATTCTGGAGCCCAGAAGAGAGGTCTGGGCTGGAGATAATTTTCAATCCATCAGCACATAAGCTGTGGTTTATCAATCATGCCCTGTCCTTCTTCTGTTCATGGAATGAAGCTGTTGATGAAAAACAAAATCTTCTACTTGCACATTAATACAACCACATGCATACACATACAGATAAGATTGTGATAATGGTTGTGTAGTTTCAGAAAACTGGAGATCCTGGGGTTATGTTCTTGCTTTGGAGGTGGTCTTTGCAAATATTTTTAAACATTATCCATAGAGTATCAGATAAAGTTGTTTTTCCTCTTGTGAGAAAAGGCCCCATGCAATGAAGTGGATCTGATTCTCAGAAATATTTTCTAATTTCCTATTTTATTCAAAAATATTCTATCTACTGCTTTAAAATATTTTTACCTTTACAGAGAGACAGAAGATGGGGTTCCCTGTAGAACATTTTGATAGATCCCCATTCTTGAATTTTAAAATGAGGGTTACAATAGCTGCTGACATTTGTTGAGCGCTTACTATATTCCAGGCACTAGACTAAATGTCTGAAGACATACGGTACCTGTAAGGAACAGCTTTGTCAGATTATTTATTGAGGATAAATCTCCTACTCCAGCAAAAATAGGGATTTTTGAAGTATTGCAATATATGGTGATTTGCTTTCTAGAAAAGACCAAAGAGCATTCTCAGTTTTACCACATGCTGGAATTGAAGTTGGTTGAATCCTCTTTGGTTCCATCAACTATTAATAGAACTTAGCCTCCTCTGTTTTGCCCTTTTTAATTACTAAATACTGAAGTAGCTTAGAATAAATGATATATAGTAACATGAAGAAGATTAAATATGATCGTGTGTGTAGTCGTGGCCGAGTGGTTAAGGCGATGGACTAGAAATCCATTGGGGTCTCCCCGCGCAGGTTCGAATCCTGCCGACTACGCTTTGTCTTCTTTACAACGTTCAAGGTCTGTGTATCTTACCTGCCTGGTAGGATTGACCTTCAAGTTACTTTTTAAAATATTAAACATTCTCTCAGACCTTTTACAAGCTACATCAAAACAGAGTTCTCATAGACCACGAAGGAATCCTGCTGCATGAGTGAGAAAGAATAACCAGTAAGACTTTCTTTTAGTTCAGTTCTGAGGTTTTGAGGTTCGCAAGCTGAAAGGAAAGATTTCACACATTCGTATTTAGAGCAACAGTAATGCCGCTACTTCCTTTTACTAAAAGTGTAAGGTACTAGCAGCTGCGGGCGGGCCAGTGGCGCAATGGATAACGCGTCTGACTACGGATCAGAAGATTCCAGGTTCGACTCCTGGCTGGCTCGTCACTTTTGTAACTCTTAGAAGTTCACAAATTCCCATCTTTCCCAGGCCTCTGCGTTAATTTTTTTTAATTTAAAAATGTATTTATTTTATAATATCACGTTATACAAAATGACAAAAATGTTAATAAACAGACTTCAGCTATAGTTCGCTACTCTTCTTTTACATACACGCATTTTCTTTAAATCACATCCCTAAACTGATTGTTTTCGAAGCTGATGAATCCTTACATTAGATATGTGAGGGAAATTAAAAGAGGAGACCTTTCAAATGCATCATTCTTTTGAGAGTTAAGATTGGAAGTCTCACAAAGAGAAGACTTCTAGATAGCAATTTTTTCTTCTCTCTTTTTTTAAGATTTAGTTTTTTAGAGCAGTTACTGGTTCACAGCAAAATTGAGAGGAAAGCACACACACCTTCACACATGCATATCCTCCCCCATTATCAACAGAGCAGGTACATTTGCTACAATCGATGAATCTACTATGGACCAAAGTCCACAGTTTTCATTATTGTTTGCCCTCAATGTTGTACATTCTATGGGTCTGAACAAAGGTAGAATGACATGTACCCAGCGTTACAGTATCACGCAGAGGATTTTCACTGCCTGAAAAGTCCTCTGTACTTTGCCTATTCATCCTTCTTCCCCTCACCAACCCCTAGCAACCAATGATCATTTTACTGTTTCTGTAGTTTTGCCTTTTCCAGAATGTCATATATTGGAATGATACAGTATGTAGCCTTTCAGATAGGCTTGTTTCACTTAGTAATATGCATTTAAGTTTCCTCCATGTTTCTTATGGCTTGGTAGCTCATTTCTTTTTAATGCTGAATAATATTCCATTGTCTGCACGTACCACAGTTTATCTATCCATTCACCTACTGAAAGGCATCTTGGTTGCTTCCAAGTTTTTGCAATTATGAATAAAGCTGTTATAAACATCTGTGTGCAGGTTTTTGTGTGTGGACGTAAGTTTCAACTCCTTTGGGCAATCTAACAAGGAGGGCAATTGCTGGTATGAACTGCCAAACCATCTTCCACAGTGGCTCTAACATTTTGCATTCCCACAAGCAAAGAATGAGAGTTCCTGTTGTTCCTCCTCCTCACCAGCATTTGGTGTTCAGTGTCCTGGATTTTGGCTCTTCTAATAGATGTGTAGTGGTATCTCGTTGTTTTAATTTGCATTCTTCTCAAGATATATGCTTTTCATATGCTTAAAAAATGGGCCAAAGATCTCAACAGACACCTCACCAAAGAGGATATACAGAAGGCAAATTTTCTTAATAAATTCTCTTCTCCCAAAGGTCTCTTCAGGAGGAAAAGTAACCGCCTTTAGCAGAGGATGGTTTCGATCCATCGACCTCTGGGTTATGGGCCCAGCACGCTCCCGCTGCGCCACTCTGCAGTAAGAGAGAACAGATGCGTGCGCACACACACACACACACACACACACACACACACACACACACACACACCCACACACACACACACACACACACACACACACACACACACATAGTAGTCAGCTTTTTTCAGACTTTTTTTTTTTTTTTCCCAGCCTGCAGAATTAAATGTGTTCTCGCTCTGTCTCTCTCTCTGTTTCTGTCTCTCTTTCTCTTCCCCCATACCAGGAATCTGTCTTGTGTAATGTGATGGCCAAGGCCCTGAACTAACTACTAAGAATAGGGCTAATAAGAAATGGATAAAGATTACTTTGGATACTCTTCCCCATGCACAAAGGCATGCTTAGATGCAATGTCTGTTACTAGGTGCTATGTGAATGTGTACATTACATCTATAACAAAATATCTGTTGATATTCCATATGTCATGTTTTAAAGTCATTCTAAGTTATACAAAATAATAGGCTCTGATGAAATAATTGTGCTTTCCCTTTCTTCCATGCTGTCATGTGACCGTTCATAATCTGTTGGAGGGTTCTCGAGTCCCAGGTAAGAAAAAATGCACATTCCTGTACATTTTTTTTTAACATAGAGTTTTAGGGGGTTCAGGGAACTTCTAGCCCAGAGGATTAACTTTCTATGATGTAATGGTTCATTTCCTCTAGTCTCAATTTGGCAAAACAAAACAAACCAAACAAAAAACTATGTTCAGGTTTTCTGCATCCGGAAATGAACTGACTCTTTCCATGGTTTGCAGGAGTAGGGGAATCGCAGAGAGCCACGAATCTGCTTGCTATGTAAGCTCTCTAGCAAGGAAAAGCTGACCCAGGTGTGAAGCAGGTGAGCTGAGGTCACCCTCTCGAATCTGACTAGTTGTCTGAGAAGATCTGCTAAGCTTCTGACGGTTGGAGAGAGACGTGGGTCAGGAGATGGGTCGGGGAGCACAGAAGTGAGCGTGGAGAGAAGGCTGGGAGTTAGTGAAGAGTGAAATTCAGAACGTTTGCAATGAAAGAAAAATGTCTTTTGCAACAAAAGAATAAAAATGTCTTTATGGGCCCAGAGAAAAACCCCCAAAGCACGTAACAGTAGTGTACACCTACCTATTTATTTACTTTCTAAAGGTGTCTTAAGGGTATCCAACTTTGGAGAAAGCAGGGAAGGAATTTTTGTCGTTCTCTACGTTTCACTTCATAGACCAGTACACCCCACAGACACTAAAACAGTTGACCCCGACGTGATTTGAACACGCAACCTTCTGATCTGGAGTCAGACGCGCTACCGTTGCGCCACGAGGTCCTGCAGGAGCCCCCTTCTCCTTTACCTGTCAACCTGATCTATGAAATTAATCACCTGTACTAAGTAAGTGAAGTTTAATTGCGCCGCATCCCATCTGCGCGACAGCGGCGTCTCCTTACACCCGCTCTTGTCCTTAGTTGAAATGATCGATTTCGTACTGCGAGAGTTCTTTTTAATCTGATCACTGGATCTGAAACTGCCCCTAAGAAGAGCAGGAAATCTTTTTGGCCGGAGGAAGCAAGTGATCCCGTCACCATGGTTTGACTGGTTAAAGCGCCTGTCTGGGAAACTGCAGGCGGGTTTCGAATCTCAATGAGATTTTTTCCCGAGATGTATCGCTTTGAACTCCTAGAAAAAGATATTCTGAAAAATGAATCCTGAGCTCTGAACCCATTTTTCAAGATTAAGAACTGGAAATTTTAATTTTCAGAGAGAGGTGCGTCTGTTTTACAGTAGTGGATCATTTTTCAGAATATCCTGTCCAGTAGTCTCAAAATTGTGTACCTCTGATTCTCCTTATCTCTTTTCCTTGCTTTTCCTAGGCTAGATGCTGCATACTATATATCAGCATCTAGTATACCATATATTTTACTTATATATTTATTGATTACCTATTGAAAATAACTAAACTAAAAGCTAAGGCACAGCCTCTTTGGGGGCCCGTCTGAGAGGTCAGCTTGCCCTCCACATAACATATCCTCTTTGGCTACCACACCCACCTCACCATAGCATGGCTACCACTCCCTGCTAAGAACAAACACCAGGAAGTTGACCCAGAGGGATGGCGGCCTCTCTAAGAAATCAGACTCTCAGACTTGATATATGTCCCTCATTTTGGTTGTGGATCCCCTGTGACACAGAACACGTGGTAAATTATTGCAGCAGAGGCTGCTAGAGTAGTTATCAAAGTCTGTTTCCTTTTCTTCTTGGAAATACAATTGTCTTGGTCTGTTTGGGGTGCTATCACAAAATATCATAGACTAGGTGGCTTAAACAAAAAAAAACCCATTTATTTCTCATAGTTCTCCATAGTTCTGGATGCTTAAACAAACAAAAAAAAACAGTTATTTCTCATAGTTCTGGAGGCTGGAAAGTCCAAGATCAAGGCATCAGCAGTTCAGTATGGCTGTGTCCTCACATGGTGGAAGGGGCCAGGGAGTCCTCTGTGGTCTCTTTTATAAGGACACTAATCCCGTTCATGAGGGCTCCACTGAATCACCTCCAGAAGGCCCCACCTCCAAATACCATCACACTGGGGATTAGGTTTCAACATATGAATTTGGGGGGGGGACACAAACATTCAGTCTAAACTCCATTTCCTAGCCTGCCTTGCAATTAGTTTCGGCCATGTGGCTGAGATCTGGACAATGGAATATGGAAAGAATTGTAACCGGTCAGTTCGAAACTTTGAAGCTTGACCCAGGAAAGCCTCTCCTGATTTGGGGGGTTCCTCTCTATGTCCCTTTGCCTTTCTATCTGTCAAACGCAGAGGACTCCATGGTCCTAGACTCCAAAGTCACACGATAGTCTCTCAGCGACCATGTGAAGACCAACCAGACAATCTGCCCTAGATGTTGCCTGAGAGAAAAACATTTACTGAGGTGAAAAACTGAGATTTATGGGGGGGGGGGGTTATGGGTTTTTTACGGGTGCTATAAAGCAACTGGTATCACTAATACAATACTGTTTTACTATTGCCTGCTTATTAATGTCCCACATTTTAGTGCTTAACTCTAAATATCATAATTACATCTTTCTCATAATACACCAAGTGATAAAGTAATGGGAGTCATTAGCACACACATGCTACACGTATGGCAGAAAATACACAAATTTCTCCAAAATTCTAAAAATTATTACCTCGTTAATAATGTAAATTATTTTGTAAACTATTTTAGGATTCTTCCTGCACTTCACTTCCTCACCTTATAAATCCAAGCTGGGCAGAAATATAGGAACGTGCAACTAGAGATTATCATACTAAGTGAAGTAAGTCAGAAAGAGAAAGACAAATACCATATGGTATCACTTACATGTGGAATCTAAAATATGACACAAATGAACCTAACTATGAAACAAAAACAGAATCACAGACATAGAGAACAGACTGGTGGTTGCCAAGGGAGAGGGGGTTGGGAGAGGATGGAGTGGGAGGTTGAGGTCAGCAGATGTAAGCTTTTATATATAGAATGGATAAACAACAAGGTCCTACTGTATAACACAGAGAACTATATTCCATAGCCTATGATAAACCATAATGGGAAAGAATATTTTAAAAAAAGAATGTATATATATATATGTGTGTGTGTGTGTGTGTATAACAGAATCACTTTGCTATACAGCAGAAACTAACACATTGTAAATCAACTATACTTCAATAAAAATATATTGATCAAGAAAAAATAAAGCTTTGTACACATTAAAAAAAAAAGAAATGTAGAAATGGATAGTGGTGCTCTGCAAATGTTATACTACCCTAAAATTCTCATAATAATGTGGACTTCATATTAGGTATGACTTTACTTTAGACTGACTTTCCAATTTCTTCTGACTCCAATCAAATACTTTTCTTAAGTGCCCTTCCATTTCCACATCCATTTCTCACTGGGCTACTGAGGCTCCTGGTCATCCCAGGCAGTGGTATGTTGATATGTTTAATAACCAGCTCTCCAGGGAAAAACACTATTCTGGTATAGATTCTCCTACCATAGCTGACTCAAGCTACAGCTGTGAAGTCACTGAAATCATTGAACATTGAGCTAGGTAGAGATGCGTACAGTTGGCTCCTGCAAACCAGTACAAGCTGGCTCCAGGGTCTAGTCTATCACTGCTTAGCAATAACGACAATAAGAAGAAGCTAATATTTATTTTAAGCACTTACTATGTGCCCGAAAACATTTCTCTGAATTTTCATATGGTGTTATATAATTATATTCAATCTTCTCAATATGTCTGTGAGGTTGGTGTCACAACTATTAAAAAAACAAATTAAAAAATCCAGGAGCTGGAAGCTAAATGCCAGGACACTTGAACACAATGTTTTACAGTATCAACAATAATCAGACAAGGCCACTCTGTTACCTGTGATAGAACAAGGTGGAGACAAGGTCCCTCCATAACTATGTCTGAAACAGGAAAGAGATAAGGATACTCTGCAATCACAGAGATAAGTAACCCCCTTTCCAGCTTAAGTGACTGTGCTTTCTGACCAGTAACAGCTCCAGCCCCACTTTAATCCTCCTTCCTCCTACATAAAGATTACTGAAATACCTACTCACTGAATTGCCCTGCTTCCTGACAACACCCAATCCATAACTGATGTCTGATTTCCTCACACCCTCCTCAGAATAATAAGCTTCTCCCAACTCCCTTTTAGCTAGATGCCCCAAGATTCCTCCAGTGTGCTCTCTCCCCAAACCTAACTTTGACTACAAGTGTATTCCTGGAGGTCTTTGGTCAGCGCACTTTAACAGTGTCAGTAACCTGACTTTTCAGGAGAGAAAATTAAAGTTTACACTTAAGAGTCCTTAGGAGTCTGTCTTTTGAGTTATGATTTCATATCAGAGACTGCCTTCCCAACCTTCAAGGAGCAGATGGTCTGGGCCATATTTAAGAGACATTGTGAGAGAGAGCAAAATGAACTGGCTGTCAGTATAGGGACTCACAGGAGGGTAATGCAGAGATTATCAACAGCAAGAAGCTGTTATGCTCCTAAAGATGGAGGGACAATGGGAAGAGGTGGCGTTAGAGCCCAGAGCGGGGGCTGGAACAGAGGATGACCCAGGGATGAGTAGCAGGAACTAGGATGCCAGAAGGAGGAGCTCTAGTCTGAGAACAGATGCAGCTGCAGCAGAAAATGCTATAGGAAGCAGAGAGATGGAGAAATGCCCTGGATTCTGCCTTCCTCCCGCATTCCAATCTTTTGTCAGTCCTCCCATTGGCTACACCTACCCAGAAGCCAGGGGGGAAGGAAGGCTGGGAAATGTAGTTCTTTGTGGTACAGAGCAGAGCAAGAGAAGGGTAGGGGATGAACCTGACAACGGGCAACTTGACTGACACAATATCCACACACCCCGCCACCCCTTCAGCTATGATCAAAGTATGAAATCTACAAAAAAAAATTTTTTTTAGTAAACCTATAAATGAATCTTATCATTAGAGTTTGTCCTTTGGATCAATTCCTTTTAGTATGCAGTAACACTTATAAGAACTCTAGTATTACACACATTTACATTTTATATGTATTTATAGAAGTGCCTAAGTTTTATAGCATAAACATCATAGAGAACAGCAAATTACAAATATTCCACTAAATAGAAAGTTTTCCTTTTTAAGATATAAGCATCCAGTATATAAAACACACAGTAGATCGCAGGTATAGAAATGCTAATAATTCACTTATGCATTTTGATTTGTATTAAATATAAAGCACTTTAACAAAGAGTCAAGCTATGATTTAAGGTCAGTTCCTTCACCAGATTTCCTTCATTTGAGTAAATCACTTCCCAATTTTTTTGTAGAATTTTAAAACCAGGCCTTGGGAAAGTTCTCAACTGTCAAGTCGTTAGATTAAAGCAGGAGTTGGCAAGCATAGTCCTCGAGCCAAATCTAGCCCATCATCTGTTTTTGTATCACTCACAGCTGTTTTTACATTTTTAGATGGTTGAATATAAATGGAAAGAATAATATTCTGTGACACATTGAAATTATATAATATTCAAATTTTAGCACCCATAAATAAATAAGGTTTCATTGGGACACGGCCATGTCCATTCATCTATGGCTGCAACACAAGTGTAGTTATGACAGAGACCACATGGCCAGAAAAGCCAAAAATATATAATATTCAGCCTTTTACAGAAAAAATTCCAGATCCCTCGTGTAGGCATGGAACAATTTTCCTTTACCCTTCTAGTTTATTTTGGCTGGTCTAACAATCAAATTGTTATAAGACAGATTAACAGGAGAAAAAGACATTTAATTTGGTGTATATGGAAGCCCCTTAGGCATAGGACCTAAGAAGTGACCAAAGCAGGCTGTTTATGCTCCTTTTTAGACAAAAATAATCAATTATTTGTGAAGATTTGACAAAACAAAGGGTTTTTTGCTTGGGGTAGCAAATTAATGAAGAAGTAACAAAGTTTGTGTATACAGCTTTCTCAGCCTCCAATTCCCTGTCTCCCCAGATAAGGATGTCCTCCATCCTCTCGGCATAGGGAGGATACCTTTCCATGGAAACTTTCTCAGTGAGAAAAAGGAGAGTCAGAGTATTCTTCTTGTACTGAACGTTTCTCAAGTAACTTTAATGCAAAATAATCAATATGCCACCTTGGCATATTGGGGAGAAGGTGTAGGCAAGAAAATATTAAGAAATGTTAACTCATGTATTTATCCTTTTGCATCAGAAAACTCTGTGCTCGGCCTCATGCCAGAATAAAAGTGTTCTTACAGCATTAATATGATGAGACATAAGTGCATCTTGACTTTCAAAATCATTTTAAAATATCCATGTCAAAAACTGTAATTTGAAAGTAAACTTTCGAGCCTCAAAATCCTGTCTTTTGGGTAACAAAGCAGAGCCCTGCAGGACTTGAGGCATAACGTTTATGCCACAGACAATAATCATAGGACAGTGCTTTTCAACCTCTTTTCAACCTGCAGGTCCTGGTTCATTAATTGATTGTAAAATCAATACATTGAGTAGCGACCAACATTTTAAAAATATCAAATAGAACAAAAAGGTATAAGAGCAAATGGTATCTATATAAATATGGATGCTGTCTTGAGTTACAATATAAAATGTATTTCTTACTGTGGATCACAGTAAAAAAAAAAAAAAAAAATCAAGATTACTTTAGAAAAAAAGATGTAGGAACCCAGTGGACCCGGCTTCCGGAGGAGCTGAGGCAGAACCACAGCGTGGAACGGAAGCTCCACTGAAGCAGGTTTCCGGGTCCCGCTCGGTGTGCATGTGGCTGAGAGGCGCACAGTCCCCCCGGACACCTCGCCAGGATGTAGAGGAAAGACGCGGGGATTTGCGAGGTTC